AGCAGCAACTGTTTAAAATTCTAGAAGAGCCTGAGCCAGAAAATACCCCTTAACTCCTGTGATCCCTAAATGGAGAACTCTCAATCATTCCTTAATCTCAATACAACCATCACAGAGAAAAGACAAATTATGACGTACATCTGCAAGATACCATTTGAGCTTGATGTCTAATATATAAGTCATCAGACTTCACTTCTGCTTTTACAATAATATTTGAAGTACAGTCAGTACAACAGAGCTATTGTGTTGCTTGCTTTTTTTTTTTTTTAAACTTAAAACATTGAGAGCTCATTGCAAGGGACAGATTTTGGCAAACAAAAATGTGAAACAGGATAAAAGCCATGAGTAAAATTCAGTGACTGAAGTCCAACTACTGGGAAAAAAGCTCTCTGTTAACAGGTGTGTGAAGCGAACTTCTGACACTCCTCAAGACAGAGGCCATCTCACTAATCTCACTAAAGCCCACAACGCTACACGCTCCTTGGCTCCAAATCCTTGGGTATGAGAACTTCTCCAAGCTCATCTTCCTCAACGCTGACATATTTTTGAGGTGGGTGCAGAACTGCTGTGTAATAATCAAATACTGAGATGTTGTAACTTCACTAGCACTGGGAGATCTGGGCAGTGAGACTGCTGACTGTTAGATTACATCCAGATGAAACTAGGTCCAACTAAATACGTGCTACTTGATTAATGGAATGAATCTGTCATGTACTGAGGGAGTCACAAGACTAGTGGCAGCAACTAATGCATAAGGTAACACTTTATTAAAAAATCAAAGCAGTTAGTCAAGTATTCCGAATAGAAGAACATTTTCATCAAACTGTTATTTATGTCATTTTGAGTAATCTTATTTCTCCCTTTAACATAGCTGGGTAGAAGAGGATGATGTGGTCAGTACCACAGGGAAACCTCCCAAATCTTCCCAACACACCTTTGATTGCTTGTTTTATCAATTCCATGCATCTAGTAGCCTCTATTTTGTTAATGCATTATTTGTCCAATTTGTATAACTTAATCAAATCCATCATTTACGTTTATGGCAAACCTAACACCCACACTAACAAACATGCTACTGTGATTTTATTGTTGCTGTTATCACCGGCATTATTATTACAAATTTATCTTGTAGATGGCTCAGCAAAATGCCTAGTACCAAAAACAAGTCAGGTATATAGCCTACACAATCCAAGGCAGTAAGTTACTGTAACATTTTGCTCTATTCCCAAATAATCACAAATTTGTTTTGGTCTTTGCTAATGAAAAAAAAACAAACAAAAAAAAAGCTATTAGCACATTATCAAACCCATATTCCATTTCTGCATACCTCTAAAGAGCTTCCTCCTCTTTAGAACTAAAACCTTTTAATGTTCAATGAGGTAAAGCCCCTGTATATTGGATTGTAAAATTTTCACATATTACGTTTTTAGTCTAACCAGAGACCACTGGAAGAAAGATTTGGAAAGTGAAATGACATATATAAATTAAGAAATCTCAAACAAAACAACAGAGGTATTAGAATAAAAGGGAATATTTCTTACCTAAATGGACACAACTGTTTTGGCAGTGATATGAAAAGCAATAAAAACAACCCAAGAAAGCTTTTGAACTGTCTAGTGAAGTACCAGAATTCAATTTCAAGAACATTTATCAGGAAAGGTTGAGCTAATGGGATAATCTGGAAATCGAGGTAAGCTTAATGGTCAGCTTTAAGATAGGAAAGCATGTTTTTTGTTTTACACTCTCTTTTCTCTGTAACATTTTCCTTCTGGATTTTATATCTATATACCCTTTAGGTATGTAATGTAGATAGTAACAAAGTTCCTTGGTCACTAACTCCCTACTGGCAATGCTTGCAGAGGGAACAAATTTTTAAGTGCTGATCACAAGGAAGGCAAATTGAGGTTGCATGGAGTCAAGCTTTAATCCACTCCAAAATGAAAAAAAGAAATGCTTGAAACAAGAAAAATGAGGAGGGAAGGGTGCACTTGAAAGAACAAAAGCAGTTGGGGACGGAGAGAAAATTCTAGAGCTAACAGAGCAACATGTAAGAGATCTTTAACAATTCACCTTCACAAAGACAAATTAACTTTACCAAAGGCTCCCTTTCTTCTTAAATCTTAGAGGCATTGTGTAGATTTAATAATCTAATGCACCAATGTATAACTGTTTTTTGTTTGTTTGTTTTAAAGCAGAAAAGAAGATGTGCTGTCTATCTGCTTTTTCCTGCTGGAAATTGATGAGTATATTGCTAGCTGATTGAAAGGTAACACTCAAACCAACACCTTGACAAAAAGCCAAAACGAAATGAAAAACCCCATACACACACAAAATCCTCACCACACCCCCAAAACCAGCCTTAACCTTTTGAAAGAATGAGAGAAACAGGAATAAAGCCACATACTGATTTGACAAAAGAGGGAAGGAATTCTATGCCTCATCTGTTCATGGCAATCCACCATTTAAAGACACCACATAAATTATAATTTGGGACAGGAATAGGAAATTTTTTTAAAAAACTGCTTTTACCTTCACCCTTATTTCCCTTCCCCAAACTCTCAAAAAGGGCCATTTTAGAAGGTGGACAGGAGTGTTTTGTTTTTTCTTTTTTTAAATATACTACTGCCTTTTACAGAACAGACAGAAAATTGCTTCACCTTGTCGGATACTATATATCTAATAAGGATTTTTTTGCAGCACCAGAATTAACTTTTACCACCACTGTCTGTGAAATTTCAAGCAAATCTGAAGTGCACCGCAACAACAATGGCTGTCCTTGTCACACATGCGAGATTTGCTATCTCATTTCTGATGGGATGCATTTTAATCTCTGTCAAGCTCACCTACAAAGTCTCTTTTTTCTATATTCTATTTTATAATTTTAAAAAATTGGCAACCTCATCAGCCTTTTGCAAAAAAAACAAAAAACAAACAAACCACCCCCTCCCCCCCAAAACAACACTACTTTCCTGCAGCTTTACCCTCTGACCAGAAAACTAATGAAGCAACTTCCCAAGGAACTCTGAATCAGCAAGAGCTTGTGGATCAGTCTTAAGGAAATACTCATTTCCTGTTTCCAATCATACTTTGTAATGTGTAAAAAAGAATGCGATACTCCTCCTGTAACTCGTTCATGTCAAAAAACTAGGAGCAAAATAGTATTCCCCATTCAAGCAAAATCTAGGATCAAGAAATTAACAGTACTAGAATCATGTTGAAGGGTCAACATCCGAATTAAACATGGCTGTGATATCTCTGCATGAGGGGAGCAAGAGATATTGCAGAATCAAGGCTGAGCTACACTGGATGGTCTAAACTAACTGCAGATACTTTATACCTGACTGAGGTGCCCTAAGAAAGCTGTGAAGGAAAGAATTTGTATAATTTGTATAGCCTTTTGCATGCTGTAACTAGCTTTATGTCCTGCTAATAGTTTCTTCCTTTCACAGGCCATTTCAAAATAGGTTATTTTTTAAGGATTTGATGGGAGCATCTGATGGTTTTGGTTTACTTCTGCTTCTTTCTAAATCACATTTTGAATTTTCTGTTTTGTTAAAAGATTGATTTTTTTGTTTTCCTCCTACAGGAGCCTTTAGCAGGTCTGTCAGAAATCATTCTCGCAAAACCAGACGCTAGAAGACGTTGCAAACAAACCATTTTCCACAACAACTTCAGTTGAATTAGTTAGAAATTCAGTTGAATTTTCAATGAAAAAATATATTAAATATACGTACTCACACTTTCTTTCTCTGACATTTATGTTACCTTCTTCTGTGGTTTCCAAGGAATTCCCTGAATTTATAGACCAATTCTGAACAATTTGGCAAGTGCAACATGAGAACTCCTCTCCGGGAAGCAGCGATTAGAGAAAGCAACCAGCAGCTAGGAGGCCCACTCTGTATTTCCATTTCATTACTGATTTTTCTCAATGACCTTGTCAAGTCATTTTGTTCCTTTCTGCCTGGGTTTCCCTACTGACTAAACATTCAGATAAACATCTTCCTGTTGGAAACACTGTAACGTTGTTTACAATGGAAACGGTTCATCAAGTAGTTAATCTGGCTTTCAAGCTTGTAACATCAGATGAAAAACACAAGGTCCACAGGACAAAAACACCAACTAGTATACAGCAATGGTTCAACCTGTTAGAAAATAACTAATAGGTTAGCCCTGCACCTGGAAGCTTTATTTCAGATGAGGTAGTAGTTACTCATTCCACTTCAACCTTATTCACATGGTCTATGCCAGCAGCATAAGGACAAATTATAAAGGTGACAAAATGCAAAAAAGTCGGCACAAGCTTTGTTGACCTGCCTAATTTAGGAGGGTGACTATTTAGCCGAGCCTCTTCTTGGTCAAATACATGCTGCTAGTGACAGGCAATGCTCAGATCTGGGATTAATGCTAATGGCATGACACCTTCAAGCACGCAGATGGAAGAAGTGGTTTAACAGGGGCTGCTGGTGACCAGGCATCCCTGAGTCAGTTCAGGGTTAGTACAAACTCTCATTCACATCTTTGTGAACAGCCACAGGCTCTTTCATGCCCACTTCAGTGATCTGGGTTGGCTAATGCACATGCTTTTATTGTTAACAAGCCAAGGAACATACTATAAATGGAACATATAACTGCCATCTTATTATGAGTCATCTCACCATCACTCTTCTTCTAAAGAAAATGTAGGTTGCTCCTAGGATTATATAATGCTAATAAGAGAGGAAGCAAAATAGGGAGAAAAGTGCAATTTCTATTTATATCCCGCTATACAAATCAGGGTTGGCTAATGACAGGCAAGACGCAGTGGAAAAAAAGAGCTACTTTTTAAAATTTAACACAGCTCCTCATTCAGATATCCCAGACTGCTTTACAGTCACTATCCAGAAGAGACTGTAAAACAGCAGAGAGCGCCAAAGAAAACACCCCACCCCCCCGCCCCAAGAACTGAAAAGGCAGGCTGGAGTTTAGGACAACTTTTCTACAGGGACTCAGACCTATTTCACCTGAGTAGCGATGCTGAGGACATACAGATGCCGACATCGCCCCTGGCTTTCGCAGGCATTTCACTGAGCCAGCCGTGGACCGCAGGTAGCTCCCCCGCCGCACGGCCCCCAGCGCGCTCCCTCAGCCCTGTGAAACGGCAGCGCGCCCGCCCCT